AAAAAAAAAAAAATCGAAATTTACGAAATCGAAAGTGTTACAGATTGGTTCCGTTACGTCATCGTCTATTATTATTTGCCCATCGCGGTCGTTTACGCCAAAACGAATGAAAAACAAGGGTTTTCCGGGTTATGTCTTCTTTTGTTATCCAAACGTTCGTTTCGTAATAAAATCGAAAAAATTGTATTATCAATAACGTCGTCGTCATTGTCACTATATTTTCGTGCAAAGTGACTGCATATAATAGCGTTAACTGTTATGTGTACGAGTATACATCGATAATCATAGCTTTGTGTACGCATTTTTTTTTGTTTATTTTTTTTTATTACACCTATATATATATATATATATATATATATATATATACACGTAAACGTATTTATCAGTACTACCGCGTACAGCGTAGTCCGATATCGACAAAAATCGTATTCCGTGTATAACCTCGTCGCAAATTATTTCGCTTTCGCCTTAATTGTATAAGAAGAATGTTTCGAAAACTGTATCAAATCCGATCACGGACGTTTTGCACTCGTATAGTGTAGGTACACACACGTTTTACACATATTGTATTCTAGAAAACGTGTCAAAAGTTTCGTGCACTTACGTTTGTCCGCGTACACTGTTTTACAATAACGTTAATGTGTCGTTATATTATTACGATTGTTTTGTTTCAAATAAGTATAGGCCGTCGCGTGTATGGTATACGTTCGACAAGTTATAGCCCCACAGACCGTCACCTCGTGTACATTGTATATATTATTTATACACTTAACAAATATCATTACGTTTAACTGCACTGGTGTGTATAACTGTAACGCACGTGGTCGAATGTTCCATGCGCAATCGAAACATCGGTACATTTCTGATAAATAAATTTGTCTGCGCACATTGTAGTAGAGTATGTTTGATTCCCCGGCAGTGTGTATACAGTCGTAATTTTATAGCCAATAAAATATATAAAAAAAAAAAAAAAATTAAAAAAAATCGTCATTGATATTCAAATGAGATGCCCAAAAACTGGTCTCAGCTGTCCGCAATTACTCTGCGTATTCATGTTTGATCATAATTTATGGGCACTTTTCATTAAAATAAGAAAAGAGTAAATACCGATAAAAATACTAAACACAATGTAATTATAACTTCGTCGTTGGAACTGTTGATATTTCGGTTTGATGACGACGGTACAAGCGGTTATAATAGTTTATCCGTGATTGTACGTAGGTATTTACGGGGACATAACAGGTCTACGACCGGCAAGTAACCACTGTATACGACTGCGTATCTCATTAAAACGAAATCGTTTACCTGTGGTTAAGAATAACACGGTAGAATGCGTTATAGGCACCTTAGTATTTGTAATGCACGTTGAGTTTTTTGGAACATAATAGTTAAATGCGCAGTTTACCGCGGGTTACGGCTGTATAGTATGGTACGTATTTTATAATATTGTTTATACAGGCGTAGGTACCTCTACACGTCAATTTTCACCAGGGACTGGTTTTCACTCTATTTTGACAGGGGCGTAGGTATGTATTCTCGAGATCAAAATCGAGCTACCGGTATTAAAATCAAACGTGAATATAAAACGCGGCATCCAGAAAAATTATTAACATAAGACGACCGATCAACCGGCATCGACTTTCAGTTTCACCCGGTTTGATCGATCGTCGTCCGGTCCATTCATCTTTGATCCAATTTACTTATACATACATTTACGTACACTACACTAAAAAAAAAAAAAAAAAACCGTCTAGGTAATCGTATAAACATATATTCACGTTAAGTCAGTGCTTTTTTCATATTTTTGCTGGTCGTTGGCCCCCATCAGGAGTGTTAGATCATAATAGGATCAATCCGGGCGCGTTACACTGTTATGTTAATGGATAGCTAACAGTTGATACGTATATAAGCTTGCTTATACATAGCAAACGAGTCATACATTTACGTCAAACATACCGTATATCATAAATTATTATTGTAATAAAGCGTTGATAAAATGCAAACTCCAATAAGGTTTGTCGCGTTTAATAAATATATTATATAAATTTAAATTGTATAGACATCGATTCTGACTATTCAGCGAAAATATACATATATAAATAGGTACTCGGTATCCTTCTTCGATACGGAATAATCCATGATGTTACAAACACGTATCTATTCAAACTTTCATCGCCTTAATATGATTTGCCTGTGATAACCATTATCTATATTAAATGCGCTCATTGTTAACATTCACGGGTCGAATTCACGTACCTATTATTATATACACTCGTTAAATGGATGTCTCATACAATCATATATGCATGTATATACAATATTATGTGTATGTAAAATATTATACTATAGCATTCTAAGGATATTATCATATTATGATGAGGAACTCGTGTCACGATTAGTCGATGGGTAATAATAAACTATTCTGTATGCATACATTATATACGAAGTGCCGCGAGAGTACGTTTATGTCCTTTGGTGTCTTTGAAATGTTGAGATCGTTTTGTATAGTTAGCGTACAACTTACAAACAAGTAGACTGCGATCCGAATGCGGTCCGTATCCCGTTGGACTTATCCGGACTCCGAGAGTAAACAAACTACGTTTTCGTATCAATTCGTGTTCTTTGCTAACATATTAATCTGGTTAATATGTAAACCGCTTATAAGTTAATCTATACCGTCAATATATTTTGCTATACAATTTTTTATATTTTAAGAATAAACTAATTTCACTAACATGATTTCCAACCACAACGAGTTTAAAAAATATATAATCTCATAAATTAATTTATTATTCAATCAAATGAAAGTACCATATAAATTGTAAATTTTTATTTTATTTTATGCAAATATTGAAATACATTATAAATACATACAGTAGTCGTATAGTGGTCGTATGAATTGTATATAATATTGCACTGGATATTATTGTTAATTAAACTTTAAAACCATGTTGTTTGTAATGTAAGTCAAATAAAGGAAAAAAAATATCTTGATTTATATATGTTACTTAATAATATTTTTTATACATTGCAAAATAAAAACATTCGCATATTTATCAATACATAAAAATTACGATAATTAGAAAATTAGTGTTATAAAATCATTAATATATCAAGGCTTAAATTTTATGGGAACTTTAGTATTTTTTTTCAAATCTGTAATATAATTTTAAGTGTTGTGTCTTATTATTTAGAATAAGACTATTTGACAGTGTATTAAATTTAATGTACTTATAAACAATTTTAGTAGATTCACATGTAGTATACCGAATAATTCTCTTCTTAGCACGTCCTAATCAAAATACTTGTATTGCAACTGATTAATACCAATATTATCAAATATTAACAACAATTATATATATATATATATATATATATATATATATATATCGTTATTTATATAGTAACTATATGTATTTATGTTATGTATTACTTTGTTGGATTGGAAATTCATGACAGTTTGTATAAAATAATACGTTTTATATGAATATAAGACATTCAAAGAAAGTTAATACATATAAGTGTATAAGCTACATATATGTTACATGCGTTTATGCAACCACCTACTCAATTTATAAAATATATCAGTTGAATAATTAATACACGACGATCGAATTGATTTCGATTTCTTTTATGGAAAACTATAAAATTTAAATTAATTTGAATTGATGCTATAGTTGTTGAACAAATATTTATAGAAGAAATTACGTTTGTCAACACTTTCGGTTTAAAATAAAAATCACTTTTTAGTCGTTTGGCTCGAGCGTTGAAGTCTCCGGTTTTCGTGTTTCGTAAATAAATAAAACTGGACTATATCATTTATAAAATATATAACATAATGTAATGTAATAACCAACTACATCAAGTATATTTAAACACGTCTCGTCGTGTTATGTAATATTCTTATTTTATAGATACCCCGCAGTAACACGTATAAAATCGACACCGGTCGCCCCTCAAATTTCGTACCTTAGCGACATTGGTTCGATCATGGCCTTGGGTATCGACATTACCTTAAACGAAAGAAAGATGTCTAAATACGTACGTATGCATAGTTGATTGAAAATCGATATTGAAAACTATATATTTAACGATGATATTTTATCATATTATACGTATTGCATTTAAACACTTTTAGATATGACACAACGATGATAATAAAATTTTTTTCTTTTTTTATCGTCTTGTAAAATCATAATAGGTATACCAAATGATTAATTATGATTTTTCAATGTCTCTAATTAAAACGAAAAAACATTCGTATTATAATCATTATCAATCATCGAAATGCATGTTATTATTATATTTACTCGTACATTGTCTTGGATAATACATATTGTCCGATTTTATTTGAAACAAAATCGTTTACACCGTATATGATTCCCGACGGTCCGAAAACGAACACATTTCGAATGAGTGTAATAACATCGATAAATTATATTTTCGCGTCCGTTACGAGTTCGTGGTTTAATCATTATATCGGTCACACTTAGTCTTAATTAACAAAATGCAACAATATTTTCTTCGGGCACCTCAATGCTGCCGGTCCCATCTTCAGTGAACGATTTACCAACAGTTCAATAACAGCATTCGTACGTCGGCGTTCTTCGCATTAGTGCGCGCACAGAATTTAACAAGATATACGTACGTTTTAAAATATCTCGAGCACGACCACGCGTGTACAATAGCATAATGAAACGTTCACGCAATCGCCGACGGGTTCTTGCTGTTATAATCGTTCGACGGTTTAGCGACAATACGATATTGATGTTACAACACGTGCAGTAGGTATCAATTAGACTCGACTCATCTGTTCTGCGCCGCGGTCGCACACCGATAAATCTAATCGTTAACAGGAAAAAAAAAAAACACCCGACGAGGGCCCCGTCAACATCAATTAGCCGGTCTCTAGGTACAGCAGGCTGTATGTGTAATACTACTGGCATTTTTCTCTTCTACTACTGCACGGCCGGGCGGTACAACGAACGGCAGCGGTGGCTGCGGCGACAGCGAATTCGTATACGTATATTAGATCACGTACACGCGTCCGGACGGTTAATATTCACAAACGTACGCACGCGAGACGCAGGTAATGGAAAAATACATTAGCATCCGTAGATCTATAACGCGCGCACACTCGCGTGTAATGCATACGAACAAAACATGTTATTACGGATTTCGGTATGTATCTCATGACCCACATTGTGTTCGCGTTGGATTACGATAGTGCGACGATGGTAGACAGAACGGTGGTTTTTTTTCTTTATTTTCTATACCGATCTTTCACCACCCGGCGAGATTACGATTACGTCGACGGTACCGTGTGCTATTGCTCCCTTACAGATTTGCGAACAATCGTATGACACGGGTCCGTTCGTCGGTCTAAAGAAAATACGCGTCAGCTGCCAGCACAGAAGTTTCCGATGACGGCAGTCATCGTCTCGTTTATGTTCGGTACATTTACTGCGGTTAGGAATAATATACACGCGCGTTTAAAACAATACGTTTTTCGTATGCATTATTTTATGCACGATTCTCTGACCTTAGCCTTTACGTTATTGTGCGCACTCTGCGATATTGCGGTCCTCGAAAAACTCTCAGATGGACGAGGAGACGGAACGTATTTGAACACTCGCTTCGTGTTCTCTCGAATTTCGGGTAAAAATATAAACTAGGTGTACGGACACGCGTCCGTTGATCACGCGTTATTTACTTTGCGGTCGAAAACCAGACGAGTGGATTAAATACATAAGTTTGCCTACAGTTGCAGATTTAAGGCGGGCGAAAAGAGTATACCCTTGAATAAGATTATTTTCTAACGCTGTTGCTGTTGTAACATGTCGTAACGAACAAGTTCGCCTCTCGTGTCCGTACACTAATACTTCTGGATCCTATCGCGCCTACAGCGAGTTTGCGGCGATCAATGCAACGCGATACGCATGCATAAATATATAGGTTGACGGAAAACCCGTCCGGATATTGGAAAACCGCAAAGCCGTGTACGGATACTGCTGCGGCCGAATGCGTACATGTAAATATATTATAATAATATGTAGAACCACATTTACGACGATATTCGTTACGTCGAGCTTTGGCCTGGTCCGAGGAAAACGAATATTTGTTCTCGAAACCAGTTTCCACGCATATAATATTGTAACACCGCAGCAGTTGACGGCGCTAAGCTAATCCACGCGGAACGGGCGGGAAAATATGTTGAAAAATGTAAATCGTAGCCGCGGCGTCCAAGTGCTCAATGAGTGCGTACGACATAGGCGCAACTAGAGTAAAAAATCTGTGGCGGGATACAGCCCTCCTACCAAAACTTAAAATAACCTGTAGATAAGCCCTACTCTTATTTACCGTGTTAATATATTTTAGATTCTGAGCCGAATTGGATTTATTGCAACGTGTTTTTTGTTTGTATGTGACACTACTGTGAGTTAAGTGTGCTGCATGCGGTATGTCATATATAACATGGAATATTTATGGGGGGTTAAGCCTCACCCTCAGCCCCCCTAGTTGCGCTTATGGTGTACGCGTATTGCGGGTAGCGGCCGACGCGATGACATAATTCGAGCACGTCAGTAGTACCTTCGATCGGCGTCATCATAATCATCACGAACGCAAAACTCTCACGGGTGCCAAAGGTAACGGTAATGACGACCGTAATTATAAGTGTACGTTGGATAATTTGATCGTATGGAGGGGAAAAAAAACGCTAAGCCTCCGAAACAAGCAATTAATACATCGTAGGTGGGACGTGTGTTCGTTAAATTAATCTTTGACGGCAACGACCCGCGAGCGCTGCTGATGCTACTTCTGCTGCTGCCGGTAATGCCGCAATTGTTTCTCTCGGCGCACTCGCATATTTTTCGTAATCTTATTTACTATCGTTCGATGTGCGCACCGGCCGCTCCGCTGTGAATTGTAATTATTTTTTTTTTTCCGCACACGTATTATCCGTAGCACGCCGCCGTCCCGTCAATCCGATTTTTGTTCGATTATTATTCTTTTTTTATTATTATTTTTTACACACACGCGCGCTTTCTATGCAAAGTGAAATTGTTCATCATCGTCGCGCGCACGCGGTGTCCAAAATTGGATCGATTAAAAACGGTCAAGCGAATAACGACGGCGAAAGCAGATTCTCCGAGACCGATACACATACACTACCGCACATGCACGCACGTATAGAACAATTTCACCGATTCACAATGTACCTACTATACTTACGGCACTTACATTTTTGCTATGCATTTTTTTCTTCTTCTTAATTCAATTAAAAACGATAATTCTCTTCACCTCCGTTACGCGCCGTCGAATTCCGCTTTCGACCCGGTTCATTTACGCGCGCGCGGCGAACATTCCTTTTGTCATAACACCGGGGCCAAATCGGATCACAAATCAATACGCTCTCTCGAAACCAAATATTTGTAGAGATGTCTTACCAGTGATTTGAACGCCGCCGCCGCCACTCCGTCGACTGTATTCCACTTGCCAATGGTTCTCGCACGCATGTACTGCAATAGTATCGGTGATGCTGAGGCAGATCGTCTCGTACATTATACATTATGGCTAATTAACGACATTCAAACGTAACATTATAATCCGTCTCGTTTACATAATATTCCCACGATGACATATCATATGTATATATATATATATTATCATAAATTTGAATTCGATTTTTTTTTCTGCTCTTTTATTCTCTAATCGCTTTATTATGTTCGTTTATAGCTTGAATTGATTTTTATTTTTATGGTTACAGATATATACATATAATTCGTATTTCTTGCCTGCTTCTCGGAGGTTGTCGAAGATTCAGCTCCAGACCTCGACGGTCCATAGATGATCTACTAATCAGGTATGCAAAACACACAAAAACATTAAAAAAATAGGATTTTTTATGTGGAATAATACTGCGGGCTACAAAAATTAAAGCATAGAAATACGTAGTGGTATTCTGTATCATTATCATAATGCGCTGTTATTAAAATATTATCAATAACCCCGAGGGGTCTTCGATCACACGTTTTTTAAGTAGGTATAATTACATAAATAAATTTACTATAAGATTTAGTGGTTTTTATTTTATATTTTAAATATTATTATATTTTGGTTTCATCGTAAACGGCTCTACACATCGTTACTGATCCCAATCGATGATACAGCGAATCGAGTTTTTCTTATTGTTTTACTGTAGTTTACTTATTTTTTCTTTCCAATAAATAATCATTTTGTTTATTATTATTCACTCGCGTCGTTCTAATTCATGATTTAATCACACATATTGCATTTTAATATTCAGAATAATTATGTATAATATAATATAAAAATATGACCTATTTTTCATTTTTATATTAAAATGGTCCATAATACAATAATAGGTACCATTTTTTTTTTGTATTCTTGAAATTTGTGTCACAAAATATAATATGATTTTTTTTTTTTTTTTAAGATATATTTATATATGTTTTTTTAAAAACCTGTAGTATTGCAATAGATGTTCAATAATTTTGATAAATTAATTTGTCTCACTCGAATCGCTATGCGATTATTCACGGAAGTACTTATTATGGCGTATATATATTATTAGCCTTAAGTATTTAAGGCTACGTAGAAGTATGCTTTCATCGTTTAATATTCCAGAACAATGGATTGTTAACGATTAAGAGTGCAAATCGTGAACGATATAATAATTGTTATACATTAAAGGATTAAAGCTGAAAACTTAACGATTTTTTAATCTTACCCGGCACATGTTGTGTGTTGTACACCATCCGAACCACGGTGCAGGTTGCGTCGCGTTAACGGGCTCGTGAAATATTAAACCACAAACAGTGCCTCGAACATTGTGTGTTATAATGTTATCATTACGTTTTCGGGTTCCTCTCGGCACGGTATACATATCATGTTGTTAACACGTACTCGTACAATCTACGACCGAAGCGAAATTAACGATACACACGATACACATCCAGTGCGTTATTTTCACTCGTCCGTCTCGTAACACTACGATATTTATTGATATCAAATATCGCGTGCTCGCTATAATATGTTTGTGCGCAAGAGCTGTCACATACGTCGTAAAATACATTCGATCGCGTACGCAATACATTATGTTCGGCTTGCATTTTAATAAGCTAATTATTATCGTACCCGTCTACTGCTCATCCCCGTTTGAAATTCCGCCGCCACCGTCGATGACGACGATGATGTGCGATTGCGTTACGGCGTGTATGTTAATGAACACGATCGGTAATTGCCGGTGTTGCTGCCGCGGTACAGCCACGAACTAATGTTGTGCGGCAGCTTTTAGGTCGGTGTTACATTATCGTACGTACATCACGGACAAAATGTATAAGTACGCACATGGAATTATAATAATATGTATATTACACGTATTATGCACGTAATGTGTGTGTGTGTGTGTGTGTGTGTGTGTGCGTACACGGTCAACCACATGTGTAAAGATAATATGCATGTTTAGGAGGTGTACCAGATATTATTATTATTATTATTATTATTGTTATTATTATTATTGAACCACGCGTGCTAATGGAGTTCAAATACGATGCGAGCGGGTATAGCGCGGGTTACCGGATACCATACTTGGTTACTCCCCGGCGAATATAATTATAACCGGGTACGCTATCCAGCTCCATGCGTGAGTTGAGTTAGCACGTCGGTAAATCGACGATAGTTTTATATATATATATATATATATATATATAACTAACCTTCTTTAATGATGATAAACGTTATGTATATAATAATATGTAGACAATTTTGTCACAAAATATGCGAAAATAGCCTGAACCTTTAGCTATACCCAATAAAATATATAGATGTAATATTATGTAATGAATATTAAAATTATGTTTACAAAGTTTCTCACAAAGCATATAATATATCAAATTAACGAAAATATTCGACGTTTTTCTATACTAGCATCATTTAGTCGTACTAATCGCAGAAGTACGAGAAACAATAGCGACAGCTTTTGATGATATCATCGACAGTAAATAATTATTCTTATAATTGTCAATATCGCACATCTTCACGACGGGAGACGTATGCCCAAAAAGATCATATTATTGTTCTACGGACGAGGCTACATAAGATATAGTGTGCAGTTGCTACGTGCATGTTTAGCGGGCTGTAGCTCTTCTAAACCTTCTGATGAACCGAGGACATCCAGTATTATGATATTACGTGTAAAGTCGCGAAATCCTAACATAGGATTATAGGTTAGGTTTTTGTTTTTTATTCGACGATTGTTTTCAATTACGATATAATTATAGTAACTCGTAAAAACCGCAGTCGAGATGCAGCAGAGAAGAACCTAGGTTTTTCAAACGGTATAAAAATGTTACGTAAAAACGTGATTCGAACGCATAAAAATTGGAACTCCGGTGTCGCGCACGTTCGCGAGTGAGAGAAGAAAGTGGTCGGTTGCAGATAAAATGTCTGCAGTATATGTTGTGTGTGTGTGCGCGCGTGTGCGGTTAAATGTCCGTTGGCATTAGGCTCGGGACTTATATAGAAAAAGCCAAACTGGGGCACGTCAAGGTTGTCGTTCGACAATAATAATAATCACCCTGTCAACCCCTTCCGTCCACTGTCACCATCCGGCCGTGTATCAACATGCAAATGCACTTACCGCACGCGCCCGTCGATCCAGTTACTGGTGCACCGGAGGAGGATGCTGCACGTGCATCTCGTATATATACATGCACAGGAATGCACCGCTGCACGCGCCTGGCAACGTTCCTGCGAACCTGCCCCGTAGTTTTTACTTTTTTTTTTGCGCGCGCCCGTACACGTCCGCTTGTGCTTTATATAATTATATATACGTCGCGTCCGCCGTGTACACAATAAATGAAAAAAAAAAAAAAAAGGGAAACGCGCTCGACGCGATAGTGAACTATATAAATATACATATATGACGAGATAAAAAATAAGCGTGCACGGTCTGTGTAAAACCTACGAAAAACAAAACAAAAAAAAAAAAAAATTCGCAAGCGTTCCGGTTCAAATAAAAGCATCCAAAAATAGTTTGTATTATACGGTTTACAAGTTCGAATATTGAATCTTGTTCGCGATCGCGATAAATCTGGATGTTGTTATAACACATAAAAAAAACTATTATCCTTTTCCCATATAAAATTATGAACACTGATTAGATCGATATTCTTTTAGTTTTAATTGAATATAATGGATATACCTACAATTATCTACACACTATTACGGGCGAATATATGAAAACGGAGAGCAAAATAAAACTAGATATCGCCGAAACGTGCGTTGATTAATGAATTAAATATATTGGAAATAAAATCGATTAACTTATACGACGCGTTTAAGTGCGATGTCGAATATTGTCACTATCGTCAACGCGATCGCGGTCGTAAAACACACTTACCAAAATGTTGTCCGGTCTCTGATCTAAATTAGTCGGACTGGACAGAACGTGTTTATTCTCACATTTCTATAATATTATTCATACTCGAATCATTATAACACGCGCGTGCACGCACACAGTGCACTCACGTATTAATGTTACTGTGTCGTATCACGCAAATAATGATGCACCAGCACAATACATTTATGTTTCAATATTACATACGTGTATCGTTTCGAACATAAGTGTATAGCCGTTGTTTGAGAATGCGATTGTATATTCGATCGGAATAATTCAATTGTACGCATCTCGTTAAACATTTTTTCTTAATTAAATCAGCATCGAATGCCAAGAATAAAATTCCGTTCGCGTTTATTATAATTTTTATTTCGTGTGTTCATAATATATATATATATATATATATTTATAAAATACGTATCATGTTGTTGTACGTACACGTATCGCCTTACGACGATTATTATGTCGGCGGAACACTCTCTCCTGGCAATGATGCAATTCGTACAGCGGCGGTAATCTATTACTAATAGTCCGATCGGCAAATAAATAATAACCCCCGATACATTCGGGGCTCGGCGTATGTGAGTGTTTCGGGCACGTCGTTTTCTCGGCCCGCCGTCCTTTGAGCAAGATCTTTGAGATTACAATGTACCGTTTTGCAATCGTCTTCGCTACGAGTTCGCGTTGAGCACACCGCGCGAAAACGTCTCGAAATCGGAAACCCCATCATTGTACCGCGGTAAACCGATGCGGCAACGGTCTTTCCGAATCTCCTAGGTGGAGCGTAATAAACGCTGTGCGTCTGCATCTCAATACAACCAATAACGGTAATGCCTACGAATACGAAAACGTCGTGATACGACCGCGACGTTAACGCGCGAGCGGCACCGTATGAACGTAAAATTCATGGCGCGATATCGTTTTTGTGTTGTCGGGCGCGAGCCTCGCCCTATTACCGTCTTGAAATATTACACCGGCGCATTACGGTTCATCGTTTCATTACGGTGCGAGTGCCCCGCGTACATTATCCGCGCACTTAACACCGTCGCCCGCTACGTAATAGCTGCAATTTAACGCGCACGCACATACAATATACCGATTACACATTATACACGGCCGGTATATACATACGAGTACTTATTATCGTTGTTGTACTCCGTGTCCTATGATATTTTCCGTAGTAACCCGCGTGCGCAGGACGGTACTGGAAACGCGAAACGAGAACGCGCGCGTAGCCGAAACCGCGGCAACCTTTTTGACTCCCGAGGCCGGTCGCAAGGAACGCGAAGCGTCGGGTGTGCGCGCACGCAACCAGACCGAGACAAAGACGCGTTAGACGATTTGTACGCGCGCACAAACGTATGTATCGTTTGACGGACCGACGCATAGACGTCACTAAGGGGTATCGATGGGTATCTTCGGTAACCCAAAATAAGTTATAG